CCCCAAAACCCCAAAACCCCAAAACCCCAAAACCCCTTCAACATAATATTTTGTTGAATCTTCAGAAATGATTATACCCTCAAACTTAGAAAGTCAATATCCCAAACTTTACGATAACTAAAAGGGATAACTATCATGGCTAGTTTGGTTGCCTAGAGCTTTCTTACAGCTTATCAACACACTTTCTCAAATATTCTACTGATTTCTTTAAAAACTATTTTCCTTGGTAAAGTATCAGATGAATATACCTTCAGTTCATCTCTAATCTTTGCTCTCTATCCTAGTTATTTCTATAGATCATATTGTTTGTATCAACTATAAGATTCTAGTAATGGTAATTTCACAGTCTTAGAGCATTACTATTTAACAACAATTCTGTAACTAACATAAATTTAATGAGTCGCTCAAGAATCAGCCCTAAACTCTTAAGATTCTGTTCCTTTACAATAACTCATCCTTAGTTTTCCTTACTTGTTGAAATCCCTATTCTTCTCAGCACAAATTCTGGAGATATTGAAAATGTAAACTTCTTAACTATTTCTCTTGGAGTAATCACTATGCTCACAGATTAATAGCGGCAGTAAGTACTTGATGAGATCCTAAGATGTTGAGAGCTTGCATGCGAATCCATTTAGGGTAATTCTTAGAGGCCAAGTAAGACTACCAGTTCTTCTAGGCTTATCTCAAAGTTGCCCTTTTTAGTTCCAATTTATCTTGAGCTGAGTAAAGAAATTTATACTCCAGATTTATTACAATAGGTGTCAGTTTATCTATTTTCTAGCTCTAAATCAATTTTAACTAACTTTTCCATTGAAAAGAGGAGGAAGGGAAATAGAGGCAGTCAGATAACCAGAATGTAGTCAATCTAAGTTGTGAACATTATATAGGATCTTTTTAGCAGGAATGAGTCTTAAGATTAGATATTTTGAAAGACACCCATGTTGATATTTCTGGAGGATAAAAAATCTCTATAGTGAAGGGAACATATTTCTCTTTGTATTTAACTTTATTTGGCTTCGATTTTTAAATACTAAGCTATGTCTCAATCTTTCAAGAAAAGTTTTCAGCATCGGATTTAAAAGATATTAAAAACTGTAGCTTTCATCACGTAAATCACAAGTTTTTAAGAAATTTTAACAATACTAGAGCATCATAAGTCTTTTAGAACTTATGGTTAGCCATCAGCTGGCTAAGAAATAACATCAATGATTGCTTCATGGATACTTATTAATCAATCTTGTATTCTCTTTGTCCATTCCAATAGAATTCTACTTTCATTATAAACTTTATAGCATCATTTGCAATAACAGATGAAGTTACAAAATTCAAACTCATTAATAGAAAATTTTGATGGATAACTACTTTAAAAAAATTGAAAATCAAAGGAAAATCTTCAAATTAATCGGATATTGAAACATTTTCCTCAGAACTTAACGTAAAATCATCATGGATAGCATTCTGAAATACCTAATTCCCCTAAAATTCATCAAAAATCTCTTCTTTGCCCTAGAAATTTCTATCGTTTTCAGTATATTCTGCTTGAAATGAAGCCTAAAATTTAGAGTTGGCAAATTTTCAAAGCGCTCTGGCCTATATAACCACAGGGAAATTTCACCATTTACAAACCAAAAACCAAGCAAAATGCCAAGAAGCCACGTATCCACTGATGACGACAACAAGGGAAAAAGAGTTGGAGGAAGCCACGTTGACAAGAAAGGATCAATGACTGGTACTCAAGGAGCCAGGATGAAGAGAAGACAAGAAACCTACAGTGTCTACATTTACAGAGTCCTAAAGCAAGTCCATCCTGAGATTGGAATTTCAAAGAGAAGTATGTCTATCATGAACTCCTTCATTAACGATATCTTCGAGAAGATCGCTCTCGAAGCTGCCAAGCTGGTTAGATACAACAAGAAGCAGACACTTTCAAGCAGAGAGATCCAGACTGCAGTGAGACTCCTTCTACCAGGAGAGTTGTCTAAGCATGCAGTGTCCGAAGGAACTAAGGCTGTTACTAAGTACACCAGTAACTAAGTAATTTCAGTATCATTCTTAAAGTAAGGGGTTTTGGGGTTTTGGGGTTTTGGGGTTTTGGGG